AGCCGAAGAAACAGCCCGCCTTTTCATATCGTCCGTCGTTCGCCTCCACGGAATTCCATTCGCCATCATTTCGGATTGTGACACAAAATTCACCAGCAATTTTTGGCGCAACCTTTGGGAACAATTTGCCATGCGCCTGCAATTCTCCTCCGCCTATCACCTCGAGACTGACGGACCGACCGAACGAGCCAATCAGACCATGGAGCAGCTACTTCGCGCCACTTGCGATGACGTGGCCGACTGAGAGCAGCAACTGCCACTGATTGAGTTCGCGTATGACAACGCCCCATCTGCCACTACTTGACAGTCACCATTCTACCAATCACACCCAACATAAAAGATCCTATACCTCGAGCCCAGCAGTTTGCAGAAATATTATAGAATGCCTGAGAGCGAGTAGCCGAAGCCATTAAGGACGCGAATATTATTTCTTAAGTCCAAGGCCGATCTACACCGACGAGCAGTAACTTACCACAGTGGAGACTTAGTACTGCTCGACACCCAAAACCTTCGGCTGCCCATCGTCCCAAACTTCGCCCTCGCTACTGTGGACCGTTTACCGTCAGCCACATGATATCTTCCGTTACAGCCCATATGTTGTTATCGGCCACCTGGAACGTCAGTCCATCATTTCACGTGCGGTTACTTCGACCATACATCGCTAGCACCAGTAAATTACCACGTCACCGAGAGGACTCGAACATCCGACCGCTCGCCAAGCCTACGGTCGAACCTGCAAAGATTCTCAGCCATCGGATCAAGGACCCTCGAGGGGCCCGCCTGATCGAGTTTCTAGCATCTTGGAAGGACCGAACGGCCCTGGAAAATAGCTGGGTGCCCCTGGCACAAATCAAGAATTACCTAGTGTTAAGAGTCTACCTCCAGTCACGCAATGCGCACGACGTCGGCGGTCTTAGCTAAGACCATACATGGGAGGGGAGGGTGTAAGAAAATTCGTTGTTATTGAGGCATCTAGTGATATGTACACTGACTTACCATACCCGAAATCAACTTCACATCCGATGAACTATGGATTATTTAAATGAAGTATTTAGTTGCATGTGTACGTAGAAATTTGCCTGTAACGTCTATATTTTCAATTATTGCTTACGCAATATCGATGAACGATGTACATGAGAGTTATCTCCTTGAATTCAAATGCTTGGAATGAAAATCCAATGTGGATACAAGGCTCATCGTTTGCAATGTGAGCTCCCATTCAGGTGTTAGTCTTCAGCTATGCACTTCAAATAGGATGCTTGTAGTTCCTATGATTAATCATTTTTAGCCTCCCTTTGCAAGATCTGTGACCAGAAGACTCCTTCCACATGTTCATTATCATTTACGGCTGTCACTTCCAAGTCTCATACTTATCATATTGCGTCAGAGCTGGCAGGCACCTTGTCTCGCTATTGTCTTGTGCGTTTTTGAATTTGGGTGGAAACATGTTTCTGACACCCCCGTGCTAGTTTCTTGTGCCAATGGCTGGTCCCCTATCCTTGGGGAGCCTTGTTGGTATTGGTTTGTGGTCAACATTTTAGTGAACATGGTGCATTTTGGTGAACGTGTGCATTTGCTGACCCGTCTCTCTTAGTTCGCTCAGGCCAGACTCTGTTCTACATCCTAGTCTACGTAGATGACATGGTCTTCGCTACTACAGACAGAGATGCACTGGCCTCCGTGAAAGCCGAGCTGCTAAGGAGACACACTTGCACTGACCTAGGAGAGCTGCGCCGCTTACTTGGGCTGCAGATCTCTAGGGACAGAGCAGCGTGCACCATCACACTCACACAGTCACAGTTGGTGCGCCAGGTCCTTCAGAGGTTCGGCCTTCAGTTCTCCTCCGCACAGCCCACCCCGCTGCTAGTGGATCACAGGCTCTCGGATCCAGTCCCTGACGAGCCGTTCGAGCCTAGTGGTCAATACGTAGAGCTTGTGGGCTGCCGCATGTACCTGATGACTTGTACTCATCCAAATATCGCATACCCTCTTAGTATCCTCGCACGCTTTGTTGCGACTGGCAGATAGCTACCTCAGCACTGGTCGGCTTCCAAGAGGGTGTTGCGATATCTAGCAAGTACATCAGGCATGGGGTTAGCGCTGGGAGGATGCAGGCCAGTGTTTCTCAAAGGGCACACATACGCTTCGTGGGCGGACGACGCTGAGACACTCAGGTCCTCCCAGGGCTACTGCTTTTGCCTTGGTGCACCTGCTCTATCTCGTGGAGGTCCACCTACTCTTCGTCTGTTGCACAATCCAACTGTGAGGCTGAGATCTACGCTGGTGCCATGGCGGCACAGGAGCTCCGCTGGTTGGTGTTCCTGCTCACAGACTTAGGTGAGCGACCTAGTTCTTCCCCAGTCCTGTACGCTGACAATAGGGCCATCATCCTCCAATGTTAGGAGCCTTGACTAAAGGGCAGAGCGAAGCACATCCAGTTGTGGTACATCCTCCTGCGCGAGCTACAACAACGCAGCCCGGCACGCATAGTTAGCCTCCAGGGCCAACACAGCTGATATCTTTACCAAGGTGCTTGCGCCTAAAGATCATCAGCGACAATGCTTATGGCTTGGTCTAGTTCCAGTAGCTCCTAACTTGCTAGGACCCTGACTTGTGTTCTACTCCTTGTATTATATTTATTGGCCTTATGGCCCTTGTCTCAGTGGCAGGACTAGTAGTGCCAGCCTGAGTTACTCTTGTTTAGCTTGTACCCTTGGTGACTGGTCTTCAGACCCCTACCTCAGAGGGTTGACTGGTAGTGCCGCCTTGAGCTGCATGTCTCTTGCTAGGCACTGCCCCTTGTATAGCCTAGGGTTGTGTCAATTTATACATTTGCTGTGCATGTATAGTTATAGGCTAGATAGGTTCGTGCTCTTAGAGAGTACAACCCAAACCCTTATATCACCCAGTATTCTCTTGCTAGTTTCCTCTTCGTCACTCTGAAATCGGCGTGGCAGCGCAGCGCAAGGTTGAGGATCGTTGGCTCTGATGGCCAGGTGTAATGCAGTGCAAACAATGAGTGTCGATTAACTGAGTAACGAGGAAAACAATACAATGAGGCAACAGGGAGCCTGGATATAGCTAGGCCTAGAGTGTCGAGAGACTCGCTGGGTTTGCCCTTGAGATCCTCAAGGAAGGGCCGCATGCCTCTATGCCTGAGGAGTTATGGGCGCACTTACCCGCTACTTAACAAGCCCTTTCAACTAAGTGGTTAGTGATTGAGTTCTGACATGCTATAGGAGCCAGGAGAATCGGGCTCAGTTTTCAGTGCCAGCGCTGCAGAGGTGCTTGTGTCCTCTGCCTATCCCAGCGGGGGGGGGGGGGGGGGGTGTCGAGAGACCCGCTGGGGTTGCCCTTGAGATCCTCGGTGAAGGGCCACATGCCTCTATGCCTGGGGGGTTATGGGCGCACTTACCCCCTACTTCACAAGCCCTTTTACATTAACTTAGTGGTTAGCAGGGCCTAAGATTCATTTTAGGGTACGCTGATTCGTCAGCCGGACCCCCCAAATTTAGGCCGATGCTTCAGCCTCGCCCTTGGAAAAAAGGCTGAACTTTCAGTGTTGGCAGTAAAAAATTCGCTGATCAATCAGCGTTACATAGAAAAAAAAGTCTGATGCACAAATTCAGCGGCGCTTTGTAGATTAGCCTAGGATTTCAGTAACGATTATTGGCTGGCGTAGTTACGAATTTCCATTCTAAGAAAGAAACACCTTCGTTGTATGTTTGGGTTCTAGGAATTTGAAACGGACGGAAATGGATGAAAGTGTGGCCGGCGTTGGGCTTTGGAATCCGGATGCAGCTGAAAGAGACCTGGAATTTACGGAAACTCAATGATGCTGGATGTCGATGATTACCCTTCAATCGTGGGGTTCTTTTTTAGGTGATTGCACATCAGCGTGGCGCCCGGCCCTCACCGAGTCAGGGCGCACTCCTCACATGTGGCAGCCTACTTTTGTGGCAAGTTTTGTACGGTCGAGATTCCGGCCTGAGAGATGGGAGACCATCTCGAGCGTCTATAAGTTTGTGGCAAGTTTCCTGCCACAGGTGAGGAATGCGCCCTGAAACAACACCTATCGCAGCGGGGAGGGGACATGTGTTTGGCTGGGAAGGAGTCTTTCGTATACAGTACTCTACGTACACATGGTTGCGGGGGGGCGGGAGAAGGGAGGTATGTATGTGGCTGTGGGGTGGAGTGGAGTGGAGACTAGGCAAATCTTCCTTGGTTGCGGGGGTATGAGAGGGGTGTGGGTGAGATGTGACTGGTTGTAGGGGACTTCGCCAAAAATATGTCTTGCACGTGTTAGGAGTGGGGTGCAGTGTGACTGGTTGCGGGGGACTAAGCCAAAAATTTATGGCATGGGGGTGTTCTGAGTTTGGTGTGACAGCCCGCGGAGGACTTAGCCTTTTTTTTTGGGGTTGCGGGTGGGTGTGTTTGACTGGGGGGAGGAGCGGGCCAAATGACGCTGTACTGGCTTGAGCGCCCCCCCCCAAGTTACGCTGATGCTTCAGCGTACACCCAAAAAGAAAAGCTGAATATTCAGACAACACCCACATAAAAAGGCTGATTTTCCAGGGCCCACTCGAAAAAAAAAAAGAGATTGAGTGTTCAGCCTTGGTACCAACAAAATGTCTGAAAAAAAGGCTAAATCACCCACATAAAAAGGCTGATATTTAGAGACCTGGTGGTTAGTAACTAAGTTCCGACATGGAGCACACGGTCGGGGCTCGGCAGAGCTGAGATGTGTGGTTTGTAAATTGGCGCGGAAAGCACACATCCAAACATGAAATTGCAAGGCTGGCAAAATGTTATTGTCACAATAGGCTCAGATGTGCCTATAATGAGAGATAGAGAGCATAGTCGGATTTCCGTCAGACGGCTTCAAATATTGTTAACGATCTGCTCGCTGACTTAAACGGTGATCTACAAATTGGAACTGGGGCGCGTTGCTGTCGTCTATCAGCAGCAAGTTGAATCATGAAATTCCATGAAGATTTGACGACGCTATGGCGGTTTGACTGGCAGAAGGTACAGCAGCCACTATAGTCTTAGGAGTACAAAAAACTTAGGAAGAAGAATTCGAGAGGGAGATGGTTCCCAGCCTCTACATACCCCAAGATCCGAGGTCCTGGTTGGTGGTACACCACCACAGAGTCCCCAACCACGAAGAGTCTCGAAACCAACCCTCCAAGGGGCTACACCAAGTGAAATGTAACACTACACGAAGTAGCATTACTATTTTCACTATTTAATATTTATCCGCGTCCCTTGGGCTTGAAATCTTGAGCTCTTGGTCTTGGATCTGCAAGATAAATTCTTCTTGAGTTGATGGGGGCTTGCTGCACACACCTGCGACGCGATGGACACTTCAAACTCAACAGAGTAGAAAAAACACATGCGACACACAAACGACGACTTGACATGCGAGTTGTAAAAACTCGCAAATGTCTTGACCGACACAAACCACATTGTGATACACCATTCAAACACACACACAAGCACTGGATAGCAATGAAATAGACTCACAATTCATTCCATGCCATGCATGCACACACACAAACAAGGACGACAAGCCGAGTGCAAGCCATATGGTTGCACCAACAAACTCCCCCTCGGATTGTTGGCCTTAGAATATGCTCCCCTTAGTTCAGAGCCATCCCAGCAAGCTTGCAACACTTTCAATGCTGCTGCTCAACCAGCCTCTTGGTCATCATATCAGCAGGCTGCGCCGTCGTCTTCACGCAGTGCAACTCCACTTCACCCAAGGTTACCATGCTTCTCACCCAAGGCCACTTCACCTTCATGTGCTTGGTAAGGCCATGAAGTACGGGGTTCTTAGCCAATGCAATAGCACCCTGGCTATCACAATAGAGTGGGGTAGGCCCTTGCTGCTCCTTCCCAATTCAGCTAGCAAACGCCGCTGCCACACAACCTCTCTTATGGCACGGAAGAGTGCCATGTACTCGGACTCCACCAAGCTCAATGCTTGGTCCACTTGTTTCTTGCTCTCCCAAGCTGTTGGTCCTCCACCAATACAGCAGATGAAGCCTCCCACACTTGTCATGTCCTCTGGTTCTGATGCCCAAGATGCATAAGAGAAGGCGGTGAGAAAGAGCCTCCCGGGTTCGACTCCATCCGCACCCTTTTGACGGCTTTGTGCCGCGGCGGAGTATTGCAGTCCAACAGTTGCTGTTTGGCCAAGGTACTTGGCCACCCTCTCTCTAGCTGCTACCTGCTCTTCATTAGGGCATTGGACAACCCTAGCCAGCTGCTCGATAGCAAAGGCTGCATCCGGCCTTGTGTGAACGGCCGCATACATGAGGCTGCCCACCATGAATGAAAACGGCACCTCTCCTCTTCACCAACACTTTCCTCCGCTGGCCCTTTCACACACTTGAACCCTGAGGGAAGAGGAGTAGTCACATGACCTTTACTCTTCCCAAAGTTTGCAGCCAAGGCCTCCAAGTACTTCTTTTGATGCACTCGCATCCACCGCTTTTCCACATCTCGCTCAATGTCAAGCCCAAGGTAGTAGTTGACGTCACCAAGGGTCTTGCACTTGAACTTGTCTTGAAGCTTCAGCATCACATCCTTCACAAGGTCAGAGGAGGGTGAGAATATGAGGATGTCATCCACATAAACCACCATGAAGCTCCTCTGCTCCCCCTCGCCAAGCATGAACAAGGATTGATCGGCCGTTGAGGGAGTGAAGCCGATCGCCTCCAAGACTTCCCGCAGCTTGATGTACCATTGCCTAGGGGCTTGCTTGAGGCCATAGAGTGCTTTCTTCAGCTTCCACACTCTGCCACTCCCATCATTGTACCCCTCTGGCTGCTCCATAAAGGTCTCTTCCTCCAAAACGTCGTTGAGGAAGGCTGTTACTATATCCATTTGCTTCACCACCCATCCTTTGATGGCCGCCGCAGCGAAGAGGGTTCAAAGGGTTGTACCCTTCACCACAGGGGCATACACTTCATTATAGTCCTTCTTCTCTTGCTGCTGATACCCCTTGGCTACAAGTCTGCTCTTGTAGTGCTCGATGTTGCCGTCGGCGTCGGTCTTGCGCTTGAAGAGCCACTTGGAAGAGATCGCCTTCCGCCCCGGAGGTAGGTTCACCAAGTCAAATGTGTCGTTCTCTATGATGCTCCCCATTTCTTCATCTGAGGCCTTCTTCCACTCCTTCCCATTGGGGCCCTCCCAAGCCTCCTTGGGATTTGTAGGCTCCCCCGGCATCTCCACCGGAGAGAAGAAGGCAAAGGCGCACTCCTCGCTTTCATCTTCCGCATCATCGCCTAGCATGAGAGCCGAACCGGTCAAGGTTGAGTTGGCTGGTCCTCCAAGCCGGTCATAGCTCAACCTATTAGGGGGCTGAGTCCTCCTTCTCCCCCTTCCTTCCTCCTTTGCTGCAGGGACTTGAATGCTCTCATGGCGTTGCGGTAAATCTGGTCGGTTCCCATGAGCACTTGTAGCACGAGGCGGAAGTGACGGTGCACGCTCATCATCTTGCTGCACCTCCTCCTCCTCCTCATCCCCATTCATTTGAGGAGATTGCCTCGTGATTGTGCTGCTGCTACTCAGCTCCAAGGGCAGCTCCACATGCTCCAAGCCGGTACTCTTCACCTCTCCAAGCCGCACACCAATCTTCGCTTGATTCTCCGCCTTCCACTCCTTGTACGGTAAGTTCTCCATGAACTTGCAATCTCTGCTCACCAAGAACTTCTTGGTAAATGGGTCCCAAAGAAGCCATCCCTTGCTGTTTTGAGCCATGCCCAGGTGCATGGCCCATGTTGCCTTTGCATCAAGCTTGTTGTGCCGAAGTTTCTTAGGCACAAGTGTCATGCACATGCACCCGAACACCCGAAGCATATCCACCTTCGGCTTCCTTCCAATCCAACCCATTTGTCTTCTCCCACGTGAGTCAAGGCTCTGTTCTTGGCCACACAAGCATGCCGCACCGCATCCGGCCAAAAATAATTGGGTAGACCGGCTTCAATGAGAAGTCCCCGAGCCGTCTCCGTGAGTGTCCGATTCGCACGCTCGGCGATGTCGTTCATTGCAGGAGAGTAGGGCATTGTAAGAGAGTGCCTTATGCCCGGCTTCTTCAGCCAAGTTGAGAAATCCTTGCTCAGGAACTCTCCCCCACGGTCAGTGCGAATTGCCTTCACAAGCCGGTCTTGTTGCCGCTCCACCATCGGCAACCAATCGGTCTTCACCGTTTCAGCTACGTCACTCTTCTTGGGCAGCACATACACCCAAGTCATGCGAGTGTAGACGTCCACAATGGTGAGGAAGTACTCAGCTCCAGCAGCTCCAAGCTTCAAGGGGCCCACCACATCCATCACCACCTCATCAAGTGGTGCCTTCGCCGTTGTCTCCGAGCTATGGAACGGGTAGCAGGTGAACTTGGCTTGCATGCATGTTGGACAGCCAAGCACCTCATTGGGCTCCCCCTTGACACGTATCCCACTGACCATCTCTTGCTGAACTATCTGCTGCAAAATGGGCAATGCCACATGCCCCATTCGTCGATGCAAGGTCAGCCAATCACACTCTCCCGTAGCGGAAGTCGGGTTGGAGAAAGCGGCACTCGCAATCGTGCCCCACAAGCTCTCTCCTTTCTCCTTTGCCGCTGCTGCTTTGCTGATCTAAGGCTTCTCCTCCTCATTTCCACCACTTTTGGTTGCTGCACCACTCTCCTTGGGTTCACAAGCCTTGCTGGTCTCTCCAAGGTTGCACTCCTTTGAGTCACTCTTGGTGTCACTTTGTTTTCCGTGATCACCGCCACCAACCGCTTCACTCTTGGTGCTGACGCTTGCTGCCACTTGCCTCCCCTTAGGCATGGGGACCACTAGGATTTGCCACATCTCATTGTAGATGTCCCTGTCCTCATGAAGGTCCCAAAGCTTCTGCTCACCAAGCCTCGCGGTATATGTTTTGGAGCCCTTGGAAGATGTGTCCACGCCGGCCTTTTGCAAACGCCGAACAGAGATCAGGTTGGCTGCTAGGTTGGGCACCCAAAGCACGTTCTTGAGGCCCACCATCTTCCCATCAGCACCATTGAACATGGCCTTGCCCATGCCTTTCACCTCTGCTCGCTGCCCCAAAGCCGATGTAACATGCTTCACCGGCGACGGTTCGAGTTCGGTGAGCAAGTCCGCACGAGGTGTCATGCTATAGGTGGCGCCGCTATCGATCACCCAAAAGTCCAGAGAGTGAAGGGTGACCTTTCCCACAGTAGCTGGCTCCTCAAAGCCATCCACACCTCCTGCTGTAGCTGCCGCTTGCGTGGAGACAAAGAAGAATTGGCCCGGGTATCGATCTTCACTCGAGTCCTTGTCGTAGTCTCCACCTTTCATGCTTGCCCCTTCGCCTCCAAGGCCACCACGGCCTCCACGACCTCTGCCTCTTCCTCCCCTTGCTCCTCTGCCCTCTTGGCCTTGAGAAGGGGTCCATCCATCAGGCAATCTGAAGCAATCTCTCCACATGTGGCCGGTCTTGTGACAAAAGTGGCATTCGTCATCAAATCGACTGCGCCCACGCCCGTAGCCATTGTTGTTGTTGTTGCTGCCATATCCTCCATTACCACGGCCTCCACTGAAGTTACTGCTGCCAAATCTTCCTCCTCGCCCTCTGCCCCTTCCACGGCCGTGCCCACGGCCCATGCTTGCAACTCCGGCACCATCAAGACCCGCCAATTCGCGACGGCGGAAATCTTCTTGTAAGATTTCACGCTTCACATCTTCGAGTGAGAGATGGGGCAGATCTCGATTTAGGTTGATGATGAGCGAGGACCATGAGTCCGGAAGTAAGGCCAGCAGCTTGGTCTTCTTTTGAAGGTCACTGTAGTTCAGGTCAGCTCCTTCGAGCCGTGTCAACAAGTCGAAGAATTTCTGCACTCCTTCCTCCACCGGTTCGCCTTCGTCAATTCGAAGTGCCGCCATTTGCCGGTCCAAAACCACAGCCACCGCCGCTGTTGCAGGAGCATGTACACCCTTGAGAGCAGCCCATGCCTTTGGTCCCTTTGCTGGTTCACGCTGAAAAGGCTTGATGTGACGGATTTGGCTACTCCCTAACGCTTGCCCAAGTAGAAGGTAGCCTTGTGCGCTCTTCCGCACCCACGGGCTCTTCTCCGGGTCGTTCTCGGGGCGCTTCTCCGTTCCTTCCATCACCTCCAGCAGATCATAGTGGTCAAAGATGTTCTCCATCTTGAAGGACCACTCAGCAAAGTTGTCACCGTTGAACTTGTCAAGGCCAAACACTCTAGGCTCATCCCTAGAGGGTCCAAGGCTAGGTTGCACCGGAGCAACGGGTGGATCTTGGTGTTGACCTTGTGCTTGGGCGTCTTCTCTGCCTCCAACACCTCTGCCACCCTCTTCCTCAGGCCTAGGCATGGTCGATACGGCTCCAAGGAGCTCTGATACCACTTGTTATTGTCACAATAGGCTCAGATGTGCCTATAATGAGAGATAGAGAGCACAGTCGGATTTCCGTCAGACGGCTTCAAATATTGATAACGATCTTCTCGCTGACTTAAACGGTAATCTACAAATTGGAAATGAAGCGCGTTGCTGTCGTCTATCAGCAGCAAGTTGAATCATGAAATTCCATGAAGATTTGACGACGCTATGGCGGTTTGACTGGTAGGAGGTACAGCAGCCACTATAGTCTTAGGAGTACAAAAAACTTAGGAAGAAGAATTCGAGAGGGAGATGGTTCCCAGCCTCTACATACCCCAAGAGCCGAGGTCCTGGTTGGTGTTACACCACCACAGAGTCCCCAACCACGAAGAGTCTCGAAACCAACCCTCCAAGGGGCTACACCGAGTGAAATGTAACACTACACGAAGTAGCGTTACTATTTTCACTATTTAATATTTATCCGCGTCCCTTGGGCTTGAAATCTTGAGCTCTTGGTCTTGGATCTGCAAAATAAATTCTTCTTGAGTTGATGGGGGCTTGCTGCACACACCTGCGACACGATGGACACTTCACACTCGACAAAGTAGAAAAAACACATGCGACACACAAACGACGACTTGACATGCGAGTTGTAAAAACCCGCTAATGTCTTGACCGACACAAACCACATTGTGATACACCATTCAAACACACACACAAGCATTGGATAGCAATGACATAGACTCAGAATTCATTCCATGCCATGCATGCACACACACAAACAAGGACGACAAGCCGAGTGCAAGCCATAGGGTTGCACCAACACAAAATGTATGTGGTCTTAGAATAACGGATTGAATACAAAACGAGCATACAAGGTGGTTTTATGCTAGTGTGTTGTACTCTCTATGAGCACGCACCTATCTAGCCTATAACAACATATGAATATATGTTGACACACCCCCAAGGCTAGACAAGGGGCAGTGCCTAGCAAGAGACACACAGCTCAGGGGCGGCAATACTAGTCCAACCTCTGAGGCAAGGGTCTAAAGACCAGTCATAAGAGTACAAACTTGACAAGAGCAACCCAGGGCGGCATTACTAGTCTGGAACTGGAACAAAAGCCACAAGGCTAGTTAAGAGAATAAAAAAATAGTCGTACACAGTCAGGGTCCTACTAAGTGAGGAGCTACTAGAACTAGACCAAGCTGTACACAGTGCCGCTGATGATCTTTAGGCGCAAGCGCCTTAATAAAGATATCAGCTGTGTTGGCACCGGAGACCAAGTGTACTATGCGGGCCTGGGGCGCTGCTGTAGCTCGTGCAGGAGGAAGTACCGCAGCTAGATGTGCTTCGCTCTGCACTCCAGATAAGGCTCCTAACACAGGAGGATCATGGCCCTGTTGTCAACATACAGGACCGGGCAGAGCTAGGCCACTAACCTAAGTCAGTGAGCAAGAACTTCAGCCAGCGGAGCTTTAGTGCCGCCATGGCACCAGCGTAGATCTCAGCCTCACAGCTAGACTGTGCAACAGACGACAAGCGGGTGGACCTCCACAAGATAGCGCCTGCACCAAGGCTACAGCAGTAGCCGTGGGAGGAGCAGAGCGACTCAGCATCGTCCGTCCACGAAGGACCACCGGCATGCGTCCTCCTAGCACTAGCCCCATGCCCGATGTACTTGCCGGATAACGCAAAACTCTCTTAGAGGCCGACCAGTGTTGTGGTCGGTGTCTGCCTATCACCACAAAGCGAGCAAGGATACTGAGAGGGTATGTGAGATCTGGACGAGTGCAGATCATCAGGTACATGAGGCAACCCACCAGCTCAGCGTATGGACCACTAGGCTCTACCAACTCGTCAAGGACTGGAGTCGATAGCCTGGGATCTACTAGCAGAGGTGTAGGCTGTGCGGAGGAGAACTGAAGACCGAACCTCTAAAGGATCTGGTGCACCAAGTGTGACTATGTGAGAGTGATGGTGTGCGCTACTCTGTCCCGGGAAATCTGCAGGCCAAGGCAGCGGCGTAGTTCTCGTAGGTCAGTGAAGGTGTCTCTCCTCAGCAGCTCAGCCTTCATGAAGGCCAGTGCGTCTGTGTCTGCAGTAGCGAAGACCAGGTCATCTACGTAGACAAGGATGTAGAACGGATTCTGGCCTAAGCGATCGAAGAGCGAAGGGTCGGCAGAGGACGGGAAGAACTGTAGGTCAGCTAGCGTAGCACGCAGCGTGTCATGCCACTCATGGGGCGCCTGCCGCATGCCGTAAACCGGATGCCGGAGGAGCCACTCGGTCCCAGGGGCGAAGGTGGCAGTGAAGCCTGGCGGACAGTGCAGATAAACCTGCTCGTGCAGACTGCCCTGTAGAAACGTTGTGGAGAAGTCGAGAGAGTGCAGCTCGTAGTCGCGCTATACTGCTATGTGAAGAAGCGCCCGAAGAGTAGTCATCTTCAAGGTCGGGGCGAAGGTCTGAAACAAGTCAACACCCTCGCGCTGACTGAAGCCTCTAGTAATGTAGCGCGCCTTGAATACACGCGGCTCTCCACGAGGGCGCTTCACCTTGAAGAGCCACCGGTCATCGACTACGTTCGCCCCAGGTGGGGGAACTGCATCGACGTAGGGGCCAGTGGATCTCCAAGATGCCATCTCCGCGTCCATAGCAAGTATCCACTGAGAGGCCCAGGGTCCCGAGGTCGCCTCAGCGTATGTGCGAGGGGTCGAGATGTCAAGTGCGTCTGGGTCACCCTCAAGGACTAGTAGCATGGAGCAGAGATGAGGAGCGGCCTCGGACAGGAAAGCTAGCTCGTACTGTCTGTCCTCTAATACGTCACTGCCAAAAGCAGGTGCACCCTCTGTTGTGTGATGTCATCATATGCTATCACATTCTGTCTGCCTCCCATCCCATGTTTTCAACTTGCATGTGTGATTTGAACGTGTGCAAGAATTTGTGTATGGTGTTTTCTGGAGTTTGGGAATGTGTTTTGTGTTATTTTGTTTGAGCAGGTATTTTGTGATGATAGATCTTGAGAAGATCTTTCCGACGCAACGAGAATCCCTTCAATCGGAGCAAGAACGCGAAAGCTATGAAGATTCAAAGTTCATGAGCTTGCGTTACAATTGCGGCAGTTACGAAGTGAAGTTGTGGGGTGACTCAATATGGATTTGGGACCTTTGGGGTTGGGAAAATTTGTCACTCTACTGTAGGAGCTGCAAATTGGTTGGGAACAACCAAGCTAGGTTGGCAAGGGTGGCCAACTTGGTTGGATTGGTTGGGAAGGGACAAAGGTCAAAGTTGGGGTTCCTATAGGGAGGGAATCTTTGTGCTTATGGGGTTTCCTTGGTTGGGGACTCTCTTGGGACCTTCTCTCTCATCCCTCTCTTCCCTTCAAAACCTTTCTCTTGCTCCTCCAATTCCTTGTGAGATTCTTGAACCTTGATTGAACTTTTGAGATTGAGTTAAGCTCTTCTCCTACAGCATACCCCCCTATGCGTCGAAAGACATAGCGTCTCGAATACTCAATTAATCGATGTGATTCGAATTGGGAATGGTATCCGAGATTACGAGCTACAACATATCCGAGTTTCGCGACATTCCAACGACTAGTTTTTTGTCGACGACGTTTCTTGTGGAGACGACTTTTCTGTCCAGAATTTCGGATTTATATTTTGAGTAATTCTAGCTCCTAAGCACACCTAGACTCCGTCCTTAATACTAACACCCTCGACAGACGGAGGACAGACAGGGTTAGAGACCGGAGCAGTGACGTAGTCAAGGCAGCGGGTAGAGTAAAAGTCAGCGACAACAGCGACAAGAGCGTCAAGTCTAGAGACAGGAACGGATGGGTCGGTGACAAGAGAGGCGAGGACCCAAGGAACAAGAGGACTAGCAGCACGGAGATAGTGAGAGAGAGGAGGCGCAGAGATCACAAGGGAAGACTGAGGAGACGACGGGAGAAGAGGAGCATGAGACACGTGACAACGGAGAAACATAGGGTGAGAACGCTGAATCGCGGAGACAGGACGAGCACGAGAGGGACGGCGAGACCAGACATGGGAGGGAGGCCTCGGGTCAGGAGACATACTATAGGAGGAGAACGAGGGGGGAAATGAGCCAGTGATGAAATTGGTGGAGGAAACATAGGGCCGTAAACAGGCAAAGGAGGCGGCACGGGGGGAGGCGCAGGCGGGCGGTCGGGGGAGGGAAGAATGAGGGGGTGAAGAGCAGACTACGGCGGTGATTGCTGCAGCTGCTCCACCCCGACACCAGAGCCTCCAGCTGCACCACGGCTACCCCCGTGACCTTCCCTGACAGCACCCCAAAGATGAAAACCCTATCCAGCACCTAAGCCACCCCCATGACCAATGGGACAAGCCACAGCAGTACCCCTAGGACTAGCACCCCCAGAACCAGCACCCCCAGGACTAGCACCCTTCTCAACGCCCGCACCCCTAGAGCTTGCGGACCCCTGCGGCTGCGGCGACGACAACGGCGGCGCCTGCTGCGGCGGCTAGTGCTGCTGCTGAGGCTGCGTCGGCGGCCACTGCGATGGTGGCGATGGAGGAGACATTGGGGCGGAGACAAGCGGCGGACCCTGAGCTGCAGGGCCCCTAGGGTCAACCGACTCCTCTGCCGGAGCAACCGACGGAAGAAGAGTAACGTGAGACACACCAGACGGGTTAGGATGGGGAGGGAGGAGAGCAGGAGCTACCAAGGGAGTGGGGTAACCGGGAGACCTCAGTGAGGAAAGCGGGTGTAGAATGAGACAGACTCGTCAAAGGGGACATCACGCGAGTGAAAGACGGGGTGAGACGGTAGGTGGTTAAGGTGTTAGTCAGACACGTCGAGGGGGAAGGCAAGGCAGACACAAGGGACGGTGCGAGCAGGGACCTTGTCTATGCCAGAGGCACGCGAGGCAGCCCCAGACGTGGAACGCAGACGCGTAACCAGGGGACCCGGTCCAGAGAAGGGTCGGCGAAACCTGCGGCCACTGGGAGTGTGGCCACAGGTTAAGCTGGTGAGCGGCTTAGCAAACCGCGAACGGCCATGGGATGCACCAGCATGGATCATGGAGGTACAAGCCACCTCCATGACCAAACCGATGCATCGATCAGCGACCCCATTCTACTGCGGGGAGTCCGGCAGGGTGTACGACTGGGTGGTGCCCTCCGCATGACAGAACTGGCCAAGCCGACCGGAGGCAAACTCACCGCCACGGTCGGAGTGGAGACAGAGCACTGGTGGGGCGCAGTGGACATGCACAGCAACAAGCCATGGGATAAGAGCATCAGGCACGTTGGCCTCCCGCTCCAGGGGAAACACCGTGGTGTAGCGCGTGTAGTCGTCTACGAGCACCACAAAGTAGCACTCGCGACGCGGCCCAAGGACGGGGGCTAGGCCCCAGACGTCAAGGTGCAGGGTCTGAAGTGGCGCAGTGGTGGGGGGAAACGAGGAGGAGTGAGGAGCACGGCGCAGCCGGCCCTCGACGCAAGGCATGCATGGAGGAGCGGGTGAGGGATGGAGGGAAGGGAGCGACGCAGGGAGACCTAAGACAAGACGATGATGTGATATGTAACGCAAATACGGAAGTGCAGGGTGACCTAGACGGTGGTGCCATAGGAGCGATGGGTGAGTGAGTGACCGACATGAGCAAGCCGCAGCGACCTGAGTAGGCACCGCCACTTGAGAGGACGCTCCCACCGTGAGGGACGCACTGTCCAGCATAAACAGGTCAGGCACAAGGTCCCGGGGGAACGTGGTGAGGGGGGCACCAGTGGTGGCCTCAGTACAGTCTGCGTACTGCTCGTGTCCAGGGAACATAGTGGTGACGTCGAGGTCCTGAAGACAGCAGACACCAACTAGGTTCTTGGAGAACAAGGGTTTGTGCAAGCCTGTAAGGGAGCCCGAGGGAACCGCCGAACAGAGAAGAGAGGTGGAGCTACATGCAACTACCAGACTTGAGGAGGTGTCAGCAAGCGCGGCAGCTGCAGGGGCGGCAAGCGGCGTGAGCGCAGTGTGGTCGCAAAAGAAGCAGGCGGATGCACCAAAGTCCAGCTTGAAAGAGAGCGTGGTGGTAGCGTCTGCTGGCGGAGTGACTAGGGTGGAATCGAAGCTAAGCAAGGCAGGAGGTCCTACACCTGACGCAGCAAGGGAACCTAGACTACACACAGTGGACACACCTAGACTAGGCAACACAAGATAATAAGGTCCGGTCACACTAGATTCATCAGCATCCATGGCATACAAAGCAGACCTAATCTGATCCATATCCATCTCAAAGACTGGCACACGGCGATGTACCAGGCTGTGCCATTCCGGGAGGTCCGACGCGGGCCCGAAATGGAGACGAAAGAGGTCGTTGAGGCGGCGGTAGCAGCGGGCGATGGTGTGACCGGGACGGTCGCACACGGCGCCGCGACGGGGGCCGGTCTGAAGCTGGTACTGACGAGTCACCGCACCTGAGCCAGCACCCAACGCCGAGCTGCGCGAGCCGCCACCGCGGCCGACGCCACCAAAGCCGCCAGACCCACCACGGCGGCGGGGATCCCCACGGCTGCTGCTGCATCTGCTGCTCCTGCTGCTGCTGCTGGGGCTACTGCTGCTACTGCTGGGGCTTCTGCTGCTGCTACGGGGCATCAGCATCGGCCCCCTCGTCTGTACCACCAGTACTCGCACCACCTCCACCACCTCCACCACCCCTCCCTCTGCTTCGCCTCCCTCTGGCGCAGCGGCCCTTGCCCTGACGAGGCTACGCTGAGGTCGCCGCAGCAGGGCCTGTCTTAGCGATAGCGGCTGAAAAGTCAGAGTAAGTGCAGTGGGAGGGAGCACAGCCCTGAAAGATAGGGACCGGCACAGTACCACTAGACTGAGCGATAGTGCGCTGGCGGGTCTCTATCGTGGATAGGGCGGTGACAACGACACTAAGGGTGAGGTCAGCGGGGTGGAGAGTAAGGAAGTGGTCGCGGGCAGTGGCGAGGCAGTCGGGAAGGCGCGTAGCAAGGAAGTAGAGAGTAGCGCCAAGGGGGGGAGGCAGTACAGTGAGCTGGGCCTCAGTGCTAGCAGCACGGTAGCTTGTCTCGAGAGCGCGTAGGTGAGTGGCGAGATCAGCGATAGTGGGGAAGGATGCAAGATCAAGGATAAGCAGGGGAAGAAGGAGACGGCGAGTAGAGGCAGAGGAGGGAGTGGAATGGCGCACAATGACGGCATCTAGGTACTCCTTCGCAGTCTCTACAGCCTACTCGGATAGGGGGAGGGAGTGACTGATAGCAAGCTGTGCAACTGTGTCGCGCGACTCCCAGACAGAGCGGGCGAGCTCAGCAGCGGCAAAGGCCTCACGCTCACCAGGCATGGGGGCGTCAGGGAGGACTCCAGGCGGGTTGGGGCAGGGGAGCTTACCGTCGACGTGGACGGCCAGGGACTAGCCGTTCTGGCGCTGACCCTTCAGCTAGTGGCGGAGGTCGGCGAGCCACGCCTCGAAGTCGACAGCCCGACACTCTGCATCTAGGCGGAGCACAGCGTCCGCCATCACCACGACTACAGCAGCATGGCGGCGCGGCGGCACGGCGACACTGAGGCACAGCGGCACAGCGGCACAACACCACAGTGGCACGTGTCGCGTGAACCTCTATAATTGGGTTACAGAGTTTCAAGGGACAGCGCGAGAGGTTATAAAGGAAGTAATAAGGTTGTGTATATACTATACATAGGTTATGTCAATTGTGCATGGTATACAGTGATGGGCGAGTCGGGGGCGGAATTATGATGAGGTCTGTTGAGCAGCTGGCGGATCGGCTCGGACACTTCAGCAGAAGGGATGGCTAGGCTGGAGAGGGGCATGCAGCACGCATGGAAGGGAGGGTTGGCAGGAATCACGGAGCTGCCATCGGAGGAGAAAACCCCGCAATGGCGCGTGGCGGATTCAGCTGGGAGGGAAGGGTCAGGCGCAGGAGAGCATCTGCTAGGGAGAGTAGCACAAAGCCGAAGCATTCGCATCTCTGTAGCTACTCTGTTTGTTCTCTCATCTTAGTGGGAAAGCCTGTATGCTTGTTTCTTAGTGGATTCTTTCATGAGCAAAAGCTAGATCCCTGAGGAGAGGCTAGACAGAGGGTGGTGGGAATTGGGAAGCTTGGCTGTTCAATCTTGGAGCCTTTATTACAAACAGAGTCAATGGCGGGCATGTTGCTTTGTAGCGGCTTGCGGCTGCCCATGGAAGACAACTCGTCACTAGGAAGGGATGTACCCCAAACTGACGAGGGAGGTGAGGTGCCGAAATCGCCGACGGCAGATCGTGCGGGATCGCGCGCGGAAGACGGCGGCAAGCCGAGTGGGCAGCGGACGGAGCACAGAGCGGAGCAGCGCGACTCCAGTGGGTTTGCGATGCGAGCGGATTGCCAAGCTGAAGGAGACTCAGCATCGGCAGAAAAGGGAATCGGAGTCACGCTCTCTGGAGGAGCAGCAGGATCCGGGGGTGGTACTGCCGCTACGGACTTCGGAGGAAGCGAGGGGTGCAGAGCAGAAGCGGCGGCGGCGAGCCAATTCGTATCAGGTGGGCCGTCTCGCAGGTCCGCCTGGGAAGAGGGAGCACGATATAAATACACCAGTCTGCCGAAGGTGGAGGTACCCGCCTGTTTCACAGGGGAGCAGGAATCGGGGCCAAGGCTGAGGACATACGCCATGCATGTCCGCAGCGAGAAGTATTGCTAGGAGCAAGACAGTCTAGACCTCAGACATTTCTTCCGTTCGCTTGGCAACACACTGGTCGGCGACGCTGAAGCCTTTTAGAAGTACGTGACCTGCTGCTGCAGGAAGAGGAACGAGATGCGCCGGGCAGGGTACGGCGTGATGCTGAGGGGCAGATCGTGAGGCTGCTGGATCCGACCGAGCGGTTTCTGAATGAGCTGCAGACGCACTTCCCGATGCAGACGCCAGCTCGGTTGCGTGAATTCGAGCAGCTGTGAAGGGCCCCGTGAGAGTCGCTCCTCGCCTACTACCGTCGGGTGGATCAGCTAGCCGAGGACATCAGTTGCAACAAGCCACGGATAGTGGTGGCGAAATTCCTGGGAGGACTCTCAGGCGAGTTGGCACGGACGGTGCGGGATCACACGTACAACCTGGGCCCGAATGCAACGTTGAGGCAGGCGTACGAGATAGCGTGACGCAACGAACAGTCGCTGAGCCTGTATGACCTGGGGAAGAAACCCGACCGAGCAGGAGTTCGCGAGTGTGACAGGTGCGGAATAAGCTGGGGAGGGGCGCTGCTGGCTGGAAGCGAAGGAGAGGAGGAAGGCATGGGGGAGAGCCGAGGGAACCAGGGACGACCGCAGTGCACGTGGAGTGCAACACCTCCCCCGGGTGAAGAGCCTGTATGTTACATGTGCGGAGAGCCGGGGCACTTCAAGCGAGACTACCCAAAGCTGCAGACATGCTCTTATTGCCAGCGGAAAGGACACGTGATTGATAGCTGCTACACCAAGCAGAGGGAGGAGAAGAGCAAGGGAGGCAGGAGGGGACGTATTGAAGCCTTGGAGGAAGAATTGAAGAGGCTGAAGGCAGAAGAGGACGGCGACGAGGAAGACGAGGACCGCTCAGCCATGTTGGTGAAGACGCCACCGGATGGTGAGGAGGACAAGGGGGAGCTCTTCATCATGGCCGCAGGAACGGAGCGAGATAGAGAAGATTTGGGGCTGCGGAGTGGAGGAGTGGACGGCAGGCAGGGGCTGCCAGCTGCGCGGCGCGGGCCAAGGGCAAGGCCGGCGCAGCCAGTGGAGCAGGCAACGGCGGC